GATAGATAGATAGATAGATAGATACTGTAGACAGACAGACAGATAGATAGATAGATAGATAGATAGATAGATAGATAGATAGATAGATAGATAGATAGATAGATAGATAGATAGATAGATAGATAGATACTGTAGACAGACAGACAGATAGATAGATAGATAGATAGATAGATAGATAGATAGATAGATAGATAGATAGATAGATAGATAGATAGATAGATAGATAGATAGATAGATAGATAGATAGATAGATAGATAGATAGATAGATAGATAGATAGATACTGTAGACAGACAGACAGATAGATAGATAGATAGATAGATAGATAGATAGATAGATAGATAGATAGATAGATAGATAGATAGATAGATAGATAGATAGATAGATAGATAGATAGATAGATAGATAGATAGATAGATAGATAGATAGATAGATAGATAGATACTGTAGACAGACAGACAGATAGATAGATAGATAGATAGATAGATAGATAGATAGATAGATAGATAGATAGATAGATAGATAGATAGATAGATAGATAGATAGATAGATAGATAGATAGATAGATAGATAGATAGATAGATAGATAGATAGATAGATAGATAGATAGATACTGTAGACAGACAGACAGATAGATAGATAGATAGATAGATAGATAGATAGATAGATAGATAGATAGATAGATAGATAGATAGATAGATAGATAGATAGATAGATAGATAGATAGATAGATAGATAGATAGATAGATAGATAGATACTGTAGACAGACAGACAGATAGATAGATAGATAGATAGATAGATAGATAGACAGACAGACAGACAGACAGACAGACAGACAGACAGACAGACAGACAGACAGACAGACAGACAGACAGACAGGTAGATCTGTGTTTACCTGTGAGTGTGTGTTGGGGCAGATACACTGATCGGCTGCTGCGGATGCTGATGGCGGAGTGTGTGTGTTGTGGAAAGGAGCTGATGTGACCAGGCTTCATGTTCACACATGAGGACACACTCGCCCCACGAGAGAAACACACACCACAGCAGGGAAACGCACACACCAACACACACCCGGCCAACACTGCCTTCATCAGAATCAGCATCATACTGGTGTAAAACAGGAAGCATTATACACACATGCATACAGATATACAAACACACTCATACACATACAAACGCATATACACACATTACATTTATATACTCTTTTTTTTTTAAACATTTTATAACATGTTTTTTTATTAGAATTGTATTTATTTATTTATATTTAAAATTACAAATGAAAAAGTCTGGATATCTTAGTAAGATATAATTCTAAAAATAATTATAAAAAATGTCACATAGTCATATAATAAAAATCTTTAAAGAATAAATGCATAATATTTAGGTACAATTATACATGTACAGAACAAATAATTATAAATACATTGAATCTTCAGTGTTGCATAAGTAAAAGGTGTCTGCACAAATATATTATTTCGATGTGATCGGTGAGAGAGATTAAATAAATACTTACATTGAAGAAGCTTCTGTCCTTTTTGTTAGCGCAACACAAACTGACCCTGGAGTTTGCCTGCTGGAGTATCATTGCTCTCTCTCTCTCACACACTCTCTCTCTCTCTCCTTCTCTAATCCTGTTTTTCTTTTATCCTGATGTCCTCTATTCTCTCTCCCAGGATGTGCAACAGCTGCTGATCCAGGAACTACTACATCCTCCTTCAATTAAACACACACACACTTGTACAACTATCTTTATGGGGACTTCCCATAGGTGTAAAGATGTTTCTACTACAGACTGTGCACTTATTAAATTCATATTAATTTGTTCAAACTACTTACTTAAAATGAGCTGAAAAGACTTTTTTTTTTTTTGTTCAATCTACTTGATAATTTCAACTTTGTCAATAGAATCTGGATGCAGCCTTTAGAATGCAACCTGAGATTGCATCCCTCAGCGATGCAATGCCAGACACAATGCACTCAATGGAGTGCATGACGTCACGGTGACAGGTTAGGGGTGGGATAGGTGAACGCATTAAAAAGCATTGGATGCAGCTCAGATTGCACTGCACCAAGTCTGCATCCAGACCCCTCTCAACTTAGTTCTTTCATATTGTCCCAACATAAATCTATTGTGTGGAACCCAGCATTTATTACAGTAAATATTGTGTCCTCGTCCCCCAAAACTACCCCTTTCTGCACTTACATGTTCACAGTGTTTAACCATGTTTGATTTATGAGCCGATTTCCATATGGAAACCAAAAAAGTCCAGATGAGATCAAAAATTACTGTTATTATTATACTTGTAAAAGCTTTGGTCCCCTCAATGTAAGAATACATGGTTAACACACACACAAATAATGAGAGACCAAACTTGACAACACTTAAAAACACACCACATTGTTATTTAGATGCAGGGTCTGGGTATGAAACTGGAGCCCATTTAACACCACGTTAGCTTCATTAGGCACTGGCTTGCGCTTTCACAAGACTTAAGATTAGTACAAATTAGCCTTTAGCACCCACAGTGTCTTACCTCTACAGTTAGATATTGTTTCTAGACACGACACTCAAAATGAATCCTGAATTACGGTGAAAGCGAGGGAAAGAGAGGCGAAGCTAAAATGACTTCTGATTGTTTAAGTCACTAAAGTTACTTTTTCTTACCCATTTTATTTTTTGAAAGAAATAAAGTGTCAAGTACAAGTCAAGTTCATCTCAACTATATTCAAGTACACGGATGATTGTTAAACAAACTTGACTTTTCCAAAACATTTTGGATTTATTTATTTTTCCAAAACTTTTCCAGGCCTGAAAAAATGCCTTTTTGAAATTTCAAGACTTTTCCAGGACAATCGCCTCACAGCAAAAAGGTCGCTGGTTCGAGCCCCAGCTGGGTCAGTTGACATTTCTATGTGGAGTTTGCATCTTCTCCCCGTGTTGGCATGGGTTTCCTCTGGGTGCAAAGTCCAAAAAACATGTGGTATAGGTGAATTGGGTAAGCTCTTGTCCGTAGTGCATATGTGTGAATGAGTGTAAATAAGTGTGAATTAGTGTGTAGTATGAAAGTTTCCCAGTGATGGGTTGCAGCTGGAAGAGCATCCGCTGCGTAAAACACAAGTTCATGGTTCATTCCGCTGTGGCGACCCCTGATTAATAAAGGAACTAAGCCGAAAAGAAAATGAACGAATAAATGAATAATAGATAATATAAATATACCTATTTTGGAGCTATTGACCACCCATATAATGGATTACACCATTGTGAACTCATAATCAGATCAATCAGTCTACGCCGATAGACATGGTAAGTGTTCACTTTTCTTGTCAAATAGGTGTTTGTTTCTACATATAGCCTAAAAGTAAAGTAAAATTAGATGCATAGTTTGACCTACAGTAACCTCTGAAACAGCTAATCAGAGGATATTGTAGGTCAGACTACACAAAATATCCCACAAAACACAGAAAACGTAAATATTTGTTAATTAAACAAATGTCATTTAAGTAAATGCATACATTTGATTCACGGACCCCCCTGATCATCAATGTAATTTGCATCCTGACTAATTTTAGATCTGAATACGTTTCATTAGGCTCAATGATGATGTAAATAATTTTCATTTTTATAAAGGTCATTTCCAACATAAAGCAAACACTTTACCTGTGCTTAAAGGGACAGATCACCCAAAACCAAAACCTAAAAAATAAAATCCTGTCATCATTTACAAATCTGTTCCTTTCTTCTGTTGAACACAAAGAAAGATGTTTTGAAGAATATCAGAACAGAAATCATTGACCTTCATACTATTTATTTGTCCTATTATTAGGGTGCGAATTATACATTGACTATGGGGGGGGGGGGGTATTTTCAGTAGTTTGTGTAAATAAACATGCACGCTTCATTGAACCAAATTCATTTATTTAATTAAATAACATCTCATAGGATATCAAACTTATTTAAGTTTTCTGTGTTTTGATGGATAAAGAGCTGATACTGTAACCTCTGATGGGTCAAAATTAAGAACTTTTCCAGCACTTTCCAGGTGCATTTTAGGCTAAATGTACATTAAAAACACCTATTTATTTTCAAGAAAAGTGCCTATAGGACACTTACGGTATCGGTTTGTAGGCTAGATCTGCTGGTGATCCAATTCTAGATTCAGCCTGCCGACTGAGTATTTTCCTGCATAATGAGGCTACTGCATTCACAATGGTATGAACCATTATATGGCTGGTCATATGTATATTTATATTATATTTCTTTCTTCATTTTGTTGTTAATGTTATTATTTAATATACTGATCAATGTAAGCTTTTTGTCACTGTTTAAAGATTTACACATGTTGTTCTGGTGTCCTTCATGGGGGGATCAAGGGTTAATTAGGCGGGTTAGACCCCCCAAACCCCCCATAATTCGCACCCTGCCAACTATGGATGTCAACATTCTTCAAAATATCTTTTTATTTAATATAAGCAAAATAAAACCAACAAATAGTTATTAAATGTGAGTAAATTTTCATATAAGTTGAACAATTCCTTTAATATACATGATATGTCTACAAAACCCCATATAAAATTAAAGGTGGTGCTTAAACTGATAACCAATGCTTTTCAATTAATTTCACTGTTCCTCCAAATTAATGCACAATGTAATCAAACAAATGAAAGTTGTATTTAAGTATTGATTCATTTATTTATTTACCTGTTTACTTACTTTCTGTTTCAGTTCTGCTCCAAGTTGTTGCAGTATGGGGCGTGTAGTTTCACTTTCTTTTTCGCCTACATCTCCCAGCGTCTCCCCATTAAATCCACTCAGTTCCTTTTATGTTCTGCACTGTGCCATGATCATGCCTGGGAAAAAGCACTGATATTTACCTGCTTTTGCTGACTCCTGATCACCTGGATTAAAGCATCCAGCCCTGGACTCGTGGATGTAGCGTTCAGGTCAGGCGTGATCTGCAAACAATCCCAACTTTCCTTTGCACTGAAATCAAAAGCGAATCCGGTTAATCCAGTCTCTCAGGAGCCTTTGTTGAGTTCGCCTGAATGCAGGGATGGTAAGGAAAGTAAAGCTACAGATATAGTGTGCTAAATTTTGGGATATTGAGTTGGAGTGGATCGCCATGGAGCTCCGGGCGGCTTCAGCGGACGCGCAGCAGCAGCTGGCCGGTGACAGGACGCACGAGTCCCGCATGGACGAGTACCTGCGCTCGCTGGGTTTTTACCGCAAAAAGATCGCCAAGGATGGGTCATGTCTGTTCAGAGCCGTGGCAGAACAGGTCAGAAGACTGATAATTAACTTAATAACGCCAATTAAACGTGTCACGATTTTAATACCTTCATTTCAAGCATGACTAACTTACCTAAACCGCATGAAACGCGAGTTTCACGGTGCTCCATCAAAATGTCACACAGATTCACTGAAATAAATCGTTATATACCCTTTTCTACACCACTTGTGCTTTAATATAACTAATTGTCATCTTTACGGTTTGTCAAAATCACTTTTTGGTTTATGTGAAGCTAATTAGCTTTAGCATACTAGCTGCTAACGTATGCAGCAGTATTAACCCTGTCACTGTTTGTTTCTACCTTAAACAATGAATGTCAATAAGAAAACGCAGCTCTTATTTATTTGATCTCTAAGAGGATTTTTTTTATATACAAATAGTGTAATGTTACTTTTATTTGATTTTTTATGTAGATTTAATAATCTTTACAGGAAATATATTATTATGACCTTTAATACCTCCGGGCGCCTCTATTTTTAGTTCACAAAATTTTAATAGATTTGTTTACCTCATTAACATCACATTAAACAGTTTTTATGTCAAATATTCATAATATTTTCATTTTAAGGTTACATAAAGTGTCTTCATTTTTATTTAGGCTATGATTTCAATAATTTTGATGTAATAAAGAAGGAAGTGTTGCAAATTCATTTGGAAATATTCTTAAAATTAATTTGACTATATCAGCATTAAATTAAAAGTAATGTCCATTTTGATTGAAAGTTTTTGTTAGTAACATTTATACTATTGAAATCAATTTTAAAATATTAATTGTAAAGATTTAGCTGATTCATCGCTTATGCAGGGTAAACTGGGTCAATTTAGTCTTTGTTTTACCTGTTTGTTTGATAAACCTGTTTTTCTCGGTAGTGACAGCCGAGTGTAATGTAATGAATGTGTCTAAGCTGAGGCTGTTGTCATTTTATGATCTTTATTAATGATTGTGTGTGTGTTTGATTGACAGATACTGCATTGTCAGGGTTTACACACACAAGTGCGGGCGGCCTGTGTGAATTATCTTAGACAGAACAGACCTACTTATGAGCTGGTGAGATTACATTACAGAATAATGCATTATTATGCTTTACGTTGCATTAAAATTCATACATGACAATTCACCATTTAAGAAACTAAACATATATTTTTTTGCCTGTGGGTGTGGTAGTTTATCGAAGGCAACTTTGAGAAATACCTGGAGAATCTACAGGATCCTCAGGTAATTACTGGAATAAACAACATTCCTAACTCAGCCAGATTGTCTGCAGAGTTTTATTAAACTTGTATTATCTAGAACCTTTATTAACTCTGATTTTACTATTACAATATTACAGTTTTTCTCTTTCCTTCTGTTTAGAGCTGGGTTGGACAGGTGGAGATCTCTGCATTGGCTGAGCTCTATAAGTGAGAATATTACAATTATTTCTATATTTTAACTGCATATTTTAATGCCTGAGCTGTGATTATTTTGACTGGCTATCATTTTTAGACCATCATTCTCTAAGTGTCATTTTATAGCCAGTGGTCACCATGTACAGTGCATCCGGAAAGTATTGATAGCGCTCAAGTATATGTTACAGCCTTATTCAACATTCCACACACAATACCCCGTAATGACAATGTGGAAAAATTGTTGCAAATTTATTACAAATAAAAAAATTAAAAATGAAGCTCTAAATTGAGCTCAGGTACATTCTGTTTTCATTGGTTATTCTTGAGATGTTTCAGCAGCTTCATTAGAGGTCACCTGTGGTCAACTCAGTTGATTGGACATGATTTGAAAAGGCATACACCTGTCTATATTAGGGCTGCTCGATTTTGGGAAAAATCATAATCACGATTATTTTGGTCATAATTGAAATCACGATTATTCAAAACGATTATCAGTTAAAGTCAAAGTTATTAGCGCTCCTGAGAATTTTGTAAAAAATAAATGTATCCCAAATGACGTTTAATAGAGCAAGGAATTTTAACAGTATTTCCTCTAATATTTTTTTCTTCTGGAGAAAGGCTTTTTTATTTTTATTTTGGCTAGAATAAAAGCAGGTTTTTTCAAGCAAGTCTATAATATTAGCCCCCTTAAGCAATATATTGTTTGATTGTCTGCAGAAGAGACTACTGTTATACAATGACCTGTCTAATAACACTAATTAAGCCTTTAAATCGCACTTTGAATCTGAATGCATGCATTTTGAAAAAATATCTAGTCAAATATTATGTGCTCTCATCATGACAAAGATAAAATAGATCAGTTATTAGAAAAGAGGTATTAAAGCTATTATGTTTAGAAATCTTCTTTCCATTAAACAGAAATTGGGGGGAAAAGGGTTGCTAATATTCAGGAGAGCTAATAATTCAGACTTCAACTGCATACAAACAGTTATTTTCCACCCTGCAAAGGAAATAGAAATAAATACAATAGAATAAAAATATAAAACAAACTGTGCTTTAAGCATCTTCACTTTAAGAAACACTTTAGCTACAAAAGTCCCTCAGTCAAGAGCAGAGGCATGTTCTCCATTTGTTGTTTGATTAATAATCATAAAAACAGGCAGGAGAAGGATTATAGCGCGCTGTCTCTTTAATAGTTTCTCTTTCACGTGTCTTTTGAATCTGAACTCGTTTATTTATTACACAAATGATGCTTGATATGAATAATCACTAAACGCCACTTTTTGACACCTATTTGACCATTAAAGCGCTCACGCTAAGATGACATTAGATGTGTGCGCTGACTGCGCTCTGCTCGTCTCAGTGTGCGAGTGAGACCGAATGCTGACTGCATGCTTCAATTCTGTGTGTGCGCGGCACACAGAATCATGCGGTCTTTCGCGCTTTTAAAATCAACACGTGTACAACTGGAAAGGGGGCGGTAAATGATGCAATAATCGTTTATCTCGATTAATGATTTTTTATAATCGTTAAAAGGCAAAATCGAAATCAAAATCGGATTTTCGATTAATTGCACAGCTCTAGTTTATATAAGGTCCCAGGGTTGACCGTGCATGTCAAAGCACAAACCAAGCATGAAGACAATGGAATTGTCTGTAGACCTCAGAGACAGAGTTGTCTCAAGGCACACGGCTGGGGAAGGTTACATAAACATTTCTGCTGCTCTGAAAGCTCCAATGAGCACAGCGGCCTCCATCATCCTTAAGTGGAAGATGTTTGGAGCCACCAGGACTCTTCCTAAACTGACCTGCCATTTAAGCTGAGTGATCAGGGGAGAAGGGCCTTAGTCAAGGAGGTGATCAATAACCCAACGGTCACTCTGTCTGAGCTCCAGCGTTCTTCTGTGGAGAGAGGAGAACCTTACAGAAGGACAACCATCTGTGCAGCAATCCACCAATCAGACCTGTATAGTAGAGTGGCCAGACGGAAGACACTCCCCGCCTGGAATTTACCAAAAGGCACTTAAAGGACTCTCAGACCATAAGAAACTAAATTCTCTGCTCTGATGAGACTAAAATTCAACTTTTTGGAATGAATGCCAGGCGTTACGTTTGGAGAAAACCAGGCAGCACCCATCACCAGGCTAATAGCATCCCTACAGTGCAGCATGGTGGTGTTGGCATCATGCTGTGGGGATGTGTTTCAGCAGCAGGAACTGGAAGACTAGTCTGGATAGAGGGAAAGATGAATGCAGTTTTGTACAGAGACATCCTGAATGAAGACCTGCTTCAGAGTGCTCTTGACCTCAGACTGGGGCGGCGGTTCATCTTCCAGCAGGACAATGACCCAAAGTCATTGAACGCCAAAATATCAATGGAGCGGCTTCACAACAACTCTGTGAATGTCCTTGACTGACCCAGCCAGAGCCCAGACCTAAGTCCTATTAAACATCTCTGACGAGATCTGAAAATGGCTGTACACCGTTGCTTCCTATCCAACCTGATAGAGCTTGAGAGGTACTGCAAAGAGGAATGGGCAGAAATTCCCAAAGACAGGTGTGCCAAGCTTGTGGCATCATATTCACAAAGACTTGAGGCTGTAATCGCTGCCAAAAGTGCATCAACAAACATGTGATTTTCAGCTTTTTTATTTGTAATAAATTTGCAACAATTTCAAAAACCCTTTTTTCACACTGTCATTATGGGGGATTGTGTGTAGAATGTTGAGGAAATAAATGAATTTAATCCATATTGGAATAAGACTGTAACAGAAATTTTTTTTGAAAAAGTGAAGCGCTATGAACACTTTCCAGATGCACTG